AGGGGCAGAAGGGAGAGGAGGGGGAGAAGGGGAGATGGGGTGTTGAGGCCAGGGAGAAGGAAGGGAAGGGGAGGGGCAGGAGAGAGAGTGAGGAAGAAGTGGAGAGGGAGAAGATTGGGGCAGGCTCCCCATGTACCCCGAGCACTGGCGGTGCTCACCAGCTGGCTGCATGCTGGGAGAAGAGTGTGGGGTATCAGGACTTGGAGACTCTGAGGCAGAGGGAGCACCCCAGTCTGTCCAGTTCCATTCTCCCTTTGCCTCTTGACACCTTCCAGAATCAGGAAGGAGGGAGAATCCAGGTTGGTTCTCTCCACTACACAACTCTGGAAAGTCACTTCCCTGCTCTGGCCTCAGTTTCCTTACCTGTACTCTGGGGAAATGGCAGAAGGGGGTAGTTAGGGGCACAGGCTGAGCAGGGGGCAGCCACTGGGAGTTCACAGCAGGGAGGATTTCTCCTGCATCTGCCTAGATGAAGAGAATCTTTCTGAGACCTCGTTCGTTCCTAATGGCAATGCGAGGATAATGACGCTGCCATTAGATAAGAATGTTTTAAACTCTTGTTTGTTCTTTTTTGGATTTTAAAGCAAAATCCATAAAGAAACCTTTTGAGGTACACTCAGATCAAGAGGAGAACTGGGGGAAGGTCATGGCCACAGCCACGGGGGCTGGTTAGTATCCTCAACTGGAGCTGTGGAGATTCGGGGTCAGACTAAGATGATTGGTCAAATGGTCCTGGGGTCATGTGCCTCACCTGCAGAGAGGACAGACCCCAAAACTGCAGGACTCATGTTTCTATTTCCAGGGAGAGCCTTAAAAGAAAATAGCCAACATAAGTTGAGCTTTAACTGTATACCTGGCACCATGAGCATTGTCTTATTAAATCCTTGTAGAGGTAGATAGTACTGTTACCTCATTCTGTAGGTAAGGGAACCCAGGCTTAGAGAGATGAAGCAACTTGCCTCAGGTCACACAGCTAGGAAGGGGAAGAGGAAGTGACAGACCCAGGGAAAGTGTGTCTAGGCCAACAGATCTGATCTTCTGGCAGGCTCCACAGGTATAGGGTGATCTGGGAGTGACCCAAATGTCAAATGGCATGAACGAGTGCTCATCCCAAGGGGCTCCTAACCCAGGAGATGGTCTAGCAAACATCCACTGGGAACCCATCAGGGACAGGCGGGATTGAGGACCCTTGAGAACACCAGCATGGACAGCTGACACTCCTAGCCCCGAGGATGCCTGTGACCCTCGTGGGGGCTTGACAAACATTGGGCTTCCCCCTCCGTAGTGCAGGGACTCAAAATAGGGATTATACTGAACTAAACAAAAGCTCACCACACACCTGTATTCTTTCTAGCCTGTGTCTTTATGAATCAGGCAGCAGGCTGAGTGGTGCGTGGACATCTCACTAGTGGTCCCAGCCACCTGCTGCATATTATCACTTTTCTCCATGTTACACAAGGGGAAACTGAGACTCACTCATCTGCAGCCATGTGGCAAGCGCATGCTGAGACCAAGATGCAGACTCAGGTCAGCTGGACTCCCACATCAGTGCTCTTAGGCCCCACAGCTCTCCACAGTGATGCGACTGACCCCTCCCAGGATTGTCAGGCTAGGGTGATGGGTATCTAGAGAGGACATACCACCCCCAGCTGAAGACTTGGCCCAATGACCTCTGGCCCCAAATCCATCACTTCAAATCCATCAACTGAATCAGCCAATGTTTCTAAAGCACCTGGCATCCAGGGGATAAAAAGATGGATGGGAGGGTGAGACTTGGGTGTGGAAGCCAAATTGGAAGTGATGACAGCATCCACAGGAAAGATGATGAAGCCTGAGCCAGGTGGACAGGAGGACAGACAATGAGAGGAGCCCAGGGTGACAAGATGGATGAGCCTGCTGCCTGGGTATAAAGTGGGGATCACAGGAGGCCCCCAGGGCACAGAGAACCTGCCAGCTGAGTGGTGTCATACCCTAAACAGAGAGAGGTGGGCAGGAAGAGGGCAGGGAGGAGCTGAGTCTCAGGTGCTTTAGAACTGAGACACCTATGGACCCTCAGAGAAGAGATGTCTGGGGGTGGGCAGGGTAATAGGTGTAGGGCCCAGGAGCGTATCTCATGCCAATTTGGTTCCCTGGTGGAGCAGGATGGAGACCTGAGGCCTGGGTGGTTGGAAGAACATTTGTGCATTCACTCATTCTGCAGACATTATTGAGCACCTCTTATGTATGTGTCAGGGACTGTTCTAGAAGCTGGTATACCAAACACCCATTGGGACTTCACCATAGTTGGGCAGAATTGAGGACCCATAGTGAACAAAACAGACATGGAGCTCACAGAGCAAAATAAACGCTTGAAAGAACACTGGGTAATGATAAGTGTTAAGAAAACAACAATAGCAAAGCCAGGGAAAGGGGTGGATGAGGGGTGACAAGGAGGGTGGTTATTGATATGGGGTAAGGAGGGAGGGCCTCTGGGGAGATGACACTTGAGTGGATAGGAGGTTGGGGAGAGAGCCACATGTGGGGGTCTGGGAGAGGGGGATTCCAGGGAGTAAGAATTTTTGCTTTTATTCCAATGAGATGGGCACCCTGGGAGGAGGGACAGGATGGAACTTAGGCTTTGAAGGAGATCCCCTAGTCTGCTGAGTGGACAACGGAGGAAGGGGCTGGAGTGGAAGCAGGGAGCCCAGGGTGGCAGCTGGGACAGCTGTCTAGGCAGGAGCTAGAGATGGCTGGTCCAGATGTGTTCTGTAGATAGGGACTTACTGATGGAGAGAGTTCCCGGAAGGATGGTGTTAGTCACCAATGTTCAGTTTGCCAAGAGATGAAGCAAGATGAAGACTGAAGTAAGGCCACTGAATTCAGGAACTGGGGGTGACAGGTGACCTTAGGGCAAGGAGTAAATGGGAAGTGAGGGAGTGGAGGCAGACATGTGGATTTCTATGGGTTGGAGAAGAGCATTGTGTTTCCTTCTTCTCTTCCTCCTCTCCCCTCTTCTTCTTCCTTTCTTTCTTACCGTGGGAGAGAGTTGGGGGTGATTAAACACTGACAGGAAGGACTGGCAGAGAGGGAGAAGGTGTCAGAAACACAGGAGGGGATAGCTGGTTTGAGGAGGTTCAGGAGCTATGAGGGAAGGTCCCATAGCTCATGGTGGAGAGAAGGGTGGCCTTGGCCTAAGGAGGAAAATGCCTTTCCTCTGAGCCTGAAGAAAGGTCTTGGGGACTGGTGGATGCATGAGTGATTCTTCAGGTGTGGGGAAGGCAGCTGAGGGGTCCTCCTCTCCTCTCAGCATCCACTGAACTAAAGGATGGTCAAGGGTCTGGTGAGAGGATGGGCAGGGGTGGAAAGTGAAGATGGAGGCTCAAGGATGGGGTGAGGCCTGAAGAATGCCTTGTGTCTGGTAAGATGCACACAGATTTCAGTGCAGCATGGAACTCTCATCACATTGGGTCCCAGTGTGTGAAGCCAAAAGCTCCCTCAAGGGGAACACAGGCAAGAGGTGGTGGCAGGGTGGAAGTGTCACAGGGCAGGTGGGTGGATATGCAGGAAGATAGTGCACAAGAGACTGAGTCAGTGCTCAGGGCAGGAAGGAAGATGGAAAGCTAGGCCTGTGTGTGTGCACGTGTGTGTGTGCATGAGTGTGTGCGAACAGGGTGGGTTAGATATCTGCACTGCGGCCTCTTCACTTAAGGGATGGATAAATCCAGGCTGTGCACAAGATAATCCTTTGGAAAACAGTAGGAAACTCTTAAAACTTCAATTTACATGATTTCACATGTTATCTTTTAAAAGTTTCATTTTTATTTGTGTCCTTCCATGTACTTATTATATTAATATGGATAGATGTGTGTAAATATTAAATAAATTTGCACGTATCAGGAGAGCAAGCATTCTTTACTGACTGGGGGCATAATTGAAACAATTAGAGACCATGGGCTAAGCAGAGGCTGCTCCTCAAGGGCACCTTGGGGAATCCACTTAGCTCCCCATCGTAGAGGCTGTTGTATTTGCCTGCTGTTTAATAAATTCATTCGACAGCTCCATAAATGGGTCCATACTCTCCACCTCACAGCCACCACCCAGTCTGTCTCCTGGTCTCACTCTTCCCTTGGTAGTTTCTGTCCCAGGCACTGCCCTTGCAGTGGTGGCCAGTTGTGGTCTGCCCCCCAGATGTCATCATAGACAGCCCCAGGATGTCATCCCTGCTTCCATGTCCACTCAGTGCCTCACCAAGGGCACACAGTAGGTGCTCAGAGAATCAAGATGAAAGGATGACAGGGGATTGATCTTACAGTGGCCCTACTCTTGGGTTAAACAACAGTGGTGCCCTCAAATCCCTGCTCCCTGTGGCCCACATCCAATTCATCAGCAGAACTGAGGGATCAGCTCCCCCTGCAGAATGCCTGGGAATCCAACCAGCCACAGCCCCTACCCACCCCATCCATCTCCAGGACTCGCTCATCTCATGCCTGGGGGCTGCAGTGGCTGCCTCCTTGGGCTCCTCACATCCACCTTCAACCTATAGTTTATTCCATTAAAACCAAAGCAGTGCCTCTTGTGACACTCAGAGTCCTTCCAGGGCCTCCACAGCCTGCATCACCTGCCTTGCCCTCACCTCAGACCTGCCCCACTTTGCTTCACCACCCAACACCACTTTCTATTGCCTCTTTCCCCCACTATCCAGAAGCAGACATTCTATTCTGTGTGCCACTGGGTCCCTCGCACCTACGATGGCCCAGTCGCAGCCAGCACTCAATGAGTTTTTGTTGGATGAATGAGTGAATGGCAGTTAAGGAGCCAGGTTCCAGTTCTGATGCTGCCCAGTCTTGCCATGTGGCTTTAGGTCCATCCCTGCCCCTCTCTGGGCTTTGTACATCCCAATCTGTACAACTCAGAGCCAGCTCTCCGTGCCCAAGGAGGGCCAGTGGGATGGATGTTCCACCTGCTAGTCATGAGAGACCCAGAGTCCCCTCCCCATCCCCACCCCCAAGCCCAGCCCTTACCTTCTGCAGCCACTGTGTGTTGTTCTCCAGCACCCTCTCCAGCTGCCGCACCCGCTGAGTTGGCCAGTCCCCCAGGTGCAGTGCAGCAGCCGGCGAGTCCCTCTGGAGGCTGTTGGGGCCCCCAAAGGTCTCAGGCTCCAGCGGGCAGGGCTCAGGCTCTGGCAGCACGAAGGTGTAGCTGCACTGGCCGTGCTGGACCCGGTGCGCTCTGCGGCGCCCCCCTGCCTCCTGGCCCCTCCGTTGAGCTGCAATTGTGGTGGCCACCATGAGGAGGAGGCCACCCAGCAGCATGGCTGACTGGGAGAGCATCCAGGGATGTGGCAATGGTGAGGGGTGTCAGTCAGAGCCCCCAGGGGCCGTGCGTGCCCACTGCCCAGCCCTGTGCCCAGCGCACAGGACGCCAGAGCAGACGGCGACCGGGCCTGCTTGTCCAGCTGCTGCAGCTGCAAACCCCTGGGGCCCGAGCTCTGTCCGGGGCAGGCGCAGGAGGCTATTTATACTTGTCTGAATGCCACAGCTGCTCTGCTTCCTCTCACCGCCTCCTACTCCCCACCCCAACACCCCTCACCTCTATTCTTTCCCCTTTCCCTTCCTTCCTCCTGTCCTGCGCGGGCCTCACTCTGCTCGCCTGGCCTCTGAGCCCTTTTATTATCCAGTCGGGGCCTGGCCTCCCTGCAAGAGGGGAGAAAAGAAAACAACGCACAGACACGCGAGCACACACACGAATACCAAACCCCAGGGCTGTCCCCTTTGGAAAACCAAGCACAACTTAATTCTCTCTTCCTGCCTCCCTCTCTTTCTCGCTCTCTCTCTCCTCTGTCTCTTTCTTCCCTCTCTGCCTTCCAAGGATCTCAAGTTTCAGCCCCCTCTGCCTTGCCTGCTCTGGATCCCTGTTAGGGCTTGGAATACAAGGGAAGTGACCCCCAGAGAGAGCAGAGGGAGGGCAGGCAGAGGGTGAGGCCAGGGAGGAGGCAGTGGATCCAGTTTGCTTCCAGAGACCCAGAAATCCTTCCAAGGCCAGGGAACTGAGTGCCTCAGTGGGAGTTGGCCCTGTCCTCCCTTATCCCTTGGGGCCTGGTGTGGTCCTGGCTGGATTGCTGTGATAGTAATGAGAAGTTGTGGTGTCCCGGGGCAGATTGCCTGGGACTGCCTGAGGCTGGAGTGGGGAGATGGGGAGGTTGATGGTGGGAAGAGGGGTGCAGCTGGGTCTCTGCAGCCCTGCCTGGAATCAGAGGCAGCTGGCTGTACATCCCAGCTCCCTCACTGCTAGCTTTGCCTCTCTGGGCCTCCACATCCTGATCAAGGTAAACTACTCAGCTCTTGAGGAGGAATGTATGAGTCCTCAGCAAGGAGATTGAGACATTTTTGATTTACTGGTTCAAAACCTGGCTCTACCACCTGTCAGCTTGAGTGACTTTGGATAAGCCACTCAACCTCTCTGTGCCTCCATTTCCTCTTGAACAAGGAAAATAGTATGACCTACTTCCTAGGGCATGAAAATTGAGTTAGAATACGGCTGGCAGTTATTGTGTCTCCCTCTCCTGTTGCAGAAAGACAAGGAGAAAAATAACACCCAAACACCGTCTTTAGACATGTTTAAAAGAGGAAGGGCTTTATTCCAGCTGGTGGAGCAATGGCAGACTAGAGTCTAAAATGGCCGTGCTCCCGGACTGGCTCAATCTTCTCCTTTTTATCTCTAATCAAAAGCTCTGGCCCACGGATACCTTTCTCATTGGTCAGTTTAAATCAAGCTGGAGAAGCAGGCTTGGGCTTTACAGAACCGCAGGCTTTTACAGAAGCAGAAGCAAGCATTAGTTTCCAGGTCCCAGGAAGTTAAGTTTCTATGAATTCCTAAGAGCTGAGTTACCACAAGGAGGACCTTGTAGGTGTGTCCTTGGGGGCCTACTTGAGAGACCCTCTGTTCTCTCAGACCTCACTTTTTCTGGGTATCCTCTCTCACTCCCAACCCACTGGAATGTGAACCTGACAAGGGTAGGGGTTTGACCCTGGGATCATGGTCTCCAGGCAGGAGGTGCTCAGGAGTTGGTTGGGTCTCTCCTGGCTGTGCCAGCTTCTCCCCACTCCCCTCTTGTTTTCCTAGAATGGGGACTACTCTGGCTGTTTTTCTCTTTCCTTTGTTTTTCTAAAGCTGATGGAGTTTTGAACAGTTGCAGGCTGTTTGGGAGCAGCAGCAGACTGGGGGCTCATCCGGGGGACTGAGAACATTATACCAGGTGTGGGGCTCTGTCAGGAAATGAAAAAGCAGATTGTCATCAGATGCCAGCACCGGTGGAGCCCTCCCCTGTGCTCAGGGCTCTGCTTGCCCAGCTCTGCCCTAGTTGCCTCCACTGTGAGTGGAGTTGGATCACCCTGATCAAGAGGGGAGGATGTGTGTTAATGTAGGTAGAGAGTTTGTCAAAGTGCCTGGGACAAATGTAAGTGGTGGCTGTTGTTATGGTTGACTTGAGTTGCTTGATAACCCCCGTGAGACCAGGGCTTATCCTCCCATTTTACAGAGGAGAGAACAGAACCTCTCCTGGAGCAGGACAGTGATTTGCCCAAAGTCACACAGCCTGGATGTGCTTGTCCTGAACCTGGGGAAAGGGGGCAGACTCAGTCCCCAGGCTGGCCTGGGAGCCCACCCCATTGCCTCCCAGTCACCCCCTCCTGGCCGTGGCAGAGGACCCAGCTCTCTCAGCCTTTATCTCTGCATCTATTCACTGGAGACACATTAGCACCTCCTGGGGGAGGTTATTGTAAAGCACCAAGTGTTACAATGGTAGGCACAGGAGGTCTTAATGAAGGAGAGAATGAATGAATGCGCAAAATATGATTTTCTCCCTTACACAGGCTTTCCTAAATAAACATGGGACCCATATTTGCACCAACAGCTCTCCACACAGAAGAGAAAATAGATTTACAGGCCAGGTGTGGTGGCTCACACTATAATCCCAGCACTCTGGGAGGCTGAGGTGGGTGGATTACCTGAGCTCAGGAGTTCAAGACTCAAAGTGAGACTCTGACCCTACTCAAAATAGAAAAACTAACCAGGCATTTTGCTGGGTGCCTGTCATCCCAACTACTTAGGAGGCTGAGACAAGAGTATCACTTGAAGGGAAACGAACAGTATCACTTGAGTTCAAGAGTTTGAGTTTGCTGTGAGTTATGACACCACAGCACTCAACCCAGGGTAACTGAGTGAGACTGTCTCAAATAAAAAACAAAAACAAAAATGAAAAAACAGATTTACCCATCCATGGAACAATGCAGGCAGAGTTCTGTGCCTGGTGGACAGGCTGGTGTGTCTGCCTGGGCTTGTGCCATGCCAGGGCTAGAAAGCCTCAGAGACAGCCTTGCCATCCTCGGCACCTCCATTTCCCCACTGCCTCCTCACCGTGGGGCCTTTGCATGTGCTGTATTCTCCATAAAAAGAAGTCAAAGAAGCATTAACTATAGATGTCCCTGGGTGGGTGAAAGAAGGTCTGATCTTGTCTCTGTTCTGCACCTGTAAAGATAAACTTGTAATTCATTATTAGTGTGGAATCAGAATAGATTATATTTTTAGGATCTAGGCATAGCCTTCAGACCTAAAGTTACAATTTAGATGTTCTTGCTTATAGGAGGCCAACAAGGAATTTCCTTATGAATGATCTGTGGGCCAATTCTTCACAGGTGCCTGAGGCCTTTACCTTCTATTTTGCATAAGGGATTGGGGGGAGTGGTCTTGAGATTTTTATTTTCTTTTGCATTACTATGGCTGCCAACAAATTACTCTAACACTTAGTGGCTTAAAATAACCGGCTGGGCGCCTGTATCTCAAGCGGCTAAGATGCCAGTCACATACACCAGAGCTGGTGGGTTTGAATCCAGCCCCGGCCTGCCAAACAACAATGACAACTACAACCAAAAAAAAAAAAAAAAAAAAGCCAGGTGTTGTGGCGGGCACCTGTAGTCACAGCTACTTGGGAGGCTGAGGCAGGAGAATCGCTTGAGCCTAGGAGTTGGAGGTTGCTGTGAGCTGTGATACTACAGCACTCTACCCAGGGTGACAGCTTTAGGCTCTGTCTCCAAATAAATAAATAAAAGTAAAAATAACCTTTGGCTGGGCAAGGTAGCTCATGCATGTAATCCTAGCACTCTGGAAGGCTGAGGCAGGTGGCTTGAGCTCAGGAGTTGGAGACCAGGCTGAGCAAGAATAAGACCCTGTCTTTACTGAAAATAGACACCCTGTCTGGGTGTTATGGTGGGTGCCTGTAGTTCTTGCTACTCTGGATGCTGAAGTAAGGGGATCATCTAAACCCAGAAGTTTGAGATTGCTGTGAGCTGTGATGCCATGACACTCTACCCAGGGCAACAGAGTGAGACTCTGTCTCTAAACAAACAAACAAACAAACAAATCCACAAATCTATAAGTAAATAAATAAGTCAATAAAACTATGTATTATTTTTCAGAGTTTCTGTGGCTTAGGAATTTGGAAGTAGCTCAGCTGGGCAGTTCTGCCTGAGTCTCTCATGAGGTCACAGTCAGATGGTGGCTGAGGAGAGATCATCCTGAAGGTTTTCCCCCACCTGTCAGCACCTGCACATGGCCTCTTCAGCATGGTGGCTTCAGCCACCCAGGCTTCCTGTACAGCCACTCATGGCTGCAATGGTGCATCCCTCAAGACTTAGGTAGAAGCCACGTCACCTTTTATGGCCTTGGCTTGAGAGTCTTTCGGTGGCATTTCCACCACATTCTGTTGGTTGGAGTCTGCCCAGGTTCAAGGCAGAGAATATAGACCCTGCCTCTGGATGGAGGAGTACCACTGTCATAAAAAGAGCATGCCTAAAAAGAGGGATATTGCTGCCACCATCTCTGGAAAGTGCCTTCTGCCCCAGGCAGGAGAATATCTAGTCATCTTTTATTTTGCAGCTTACATGTTGCTGACACACGTGCACACGGGCCCTCAGTCTACTCCAAGACTTAAACCAGAACCCCTGTCGTGCAGACTTGCCCTTTTCATCTTAACCCTTCTTAAGGTGCTAATTACTAACTTCTCTGTGCATTTGATATGCAAGATCTTCTCAGTAAACATCTGCTCAATGAATGAATAAATGCAGAGCTTGAGCTGGGCTGCTAAGGAGCAGGAGGCTGGGGTGCTGTTTCAAAGCTGCTTCCTGGGTGTGTGACTTGTGTAGTTACCCAGGACTCCAAGCCTAGAAGGGAATATTACCATCTCAAAATTCTTAGTACTTTCTTTTTTCGAGACAGTCTTACTCTGTCACCTTGGGTAGAGTGTCCTGGCATTGCAGCTCACAGCAACCTCAAA